CCCCTTCCTCTCAGAAACAGGACGTCCCCCACCACAATCCGTCGCAGGAACTACCAACACCACCCCGCCCTCGGTGCCCCTGGCAACCTTATCTACTCAAATCTCCTCAGCCGAAAATTACCCCCGCCCAGCCGTTGAAGCAGTCGCCCTACTCCCTTCCGTACACTGCCACACGCTAATCCTACTCCCGCAAGCACCCACCACGGCAGCCCTGATCATGGGAATCCGCCCCGCCCATGTAGCCATACAATTGCGCACAGAGCCCAGATCTGCGCGACAGCGGCAGCGACGCCCTGTGCGAGCATCGATGAGGAGTAGTAGTACCTGGCGCGCCGGAGTCGTTCTGGAGAGCAGCCCACACGCGATGCTCCTGCTGGACTCCCCAGCGTCATGCCCGACGGCGAACTCCCTTCTAAACCTGGTCCAGGCTCATGGGCTGGGCGCGCGCCATATCCTTACTGGGCAGAAGCTACACAGAAGAGGAAGAAGAAGATCGTGAAGAAGGGAATCTGGACGCGAGGCAGGTGAGCAGATGGTGAGCACAACAAGTGAGGGTGAGGGGAGTCGGAAGCGGAGTTGTGATGAGAACCAAGTGTAGCCCCCGAGCGCGTACAAGCGCATGCGAGGGTGATGATGCCGAAGGTATGTGCAATACGCTATGTCGCTTTGTTGATATCAGCGGTCAGAGTTAGTCTCTCACTTCCACCCTTTTCTTCATCAATGACATGGTGCATTTCGTTTTTGCTTCGGAGCATGGTCTCATGATGTCTCTCTAATCTCCTTAATGTGGTGACCAGGACTCAAGCTTTTTAGGTGGCCATGTAGGATCTTTTGATTGCTGGTGCGGGAGCTCGGTCTTTCTCATGGTCCGTGGAACGGTCGTCTGCCTATGGTTTCGTGATTCTTTATATGTATGTATGTATGTATGTATGTATGTGTACAATATCCGTATATATGTCAAATACGCGGATAGTTGTCGGGATGTGGGTGAGAAATGAAACGCATGGTCTTCAAATGTGAGGAATTGTTTTCCTCAGACATCCTGTTTTCTTTGTGATCATAATATATGTATGGTTTAGAGATATTTTACTTAGTACCAAACGTAAGCATTCATCTATACCACCAAAACTCACATGAATCTGAAGTCTTTGTAGAGTTCTTGTGTCTTTCTTTTATTGCAAAAAACACTGAATACACTATCCAAGTCCGTTCTCTCTCTCTCTCTCTCTCTCTCTCTCACACACACACACATCAAATTAAGTAGATTCCCTTTAAAATCTTTTACTTCATTGCAGAAATTTGACACGGAAGTAGTGTTTAAAAATTGTGGTTTTAGGGATGTTAATGCAGTTGTAAATTTATGAGAATTTCTTTACGATAAGGTAGGATTTTTAAAATATTAAAAATTCTATATAAAAAACAGAGAAGTAGTCAAATCAATTCTTAATAGCACAATGTACGTCTTTATGTTTTAGGTGTCTAGTAAGATATCTAGAAAATTTAATTTTAACCAATCCTTCTTCTGTCAGATGAATACACAACTAATCATAAAAACTTTGTCTATTTTATAAATTTTTAACTTCAATTTCTTTACACAAACAATTAAATTTATGTTATAAGACTCTACAGAGTATTATATCAATTCTCTTTAAACGTATATATATATATATATATATATATATACGCACACACATTCTTACTTTTAAAAAAATAAAAATCTACATATTGTAGTAGTTATGTTATCAATGTTATTAAAAACGTTTTGAAAACACAATCTAAAATTTTGATAAGTAATGTATAGATTAAAATTGATTTTTCAAAATTTATTATGTATTTATTACTAATTTTGTATATACTTATGAAAATACACATCAAAAAATATACAAATGAATAAATATACAAATGATTTTTATGATTCATAGTGGTTCTATAAATTTTTTGTTTTCTAAATATATCAATATTTTTTTAAAATTCATTATTTCATTTAAATTTTAAGATATTTTATTTTTAAATAAAAAATAATAGATAGTATAATTATATATTCAAAAAAAAGAATATTATAAAATATTTGAATTATTAATAGATATCAAAAAATTATTTAAATTAGAAATAATTTTTAAATTTTAAATTTTAATTAATAATATATATTATTTATTTATTTATAATAATTAATCCTCCAAATTCTAATAATCTTCAATAATTAATCAAAACTTTGAAAACCAACTTTGTTCTATGGTACATAATTAAAAATCTTTCATTTTCAATCATTATTTGATTATGATTGACTTTTTAAATTAATTGAAATAACTAATAGATATCAAATGAATACTATGACTACTTGGATATATATCATTAGACAAGGCAATACCATATAGTTGCTATAGCAATAATAATTTCTATCTTGCCTTCAATGCACCACTTATATTGATTAATAATATTTGATAATTAATATTTTTATCTAAAAAAATATATTATTTAAAAAAATATTATATATAGAAAGAGTTATTAAAACTACACATCCATCTTGCTATCTTATAATTAATTCTATCCATCATGTGTCCTTTGTTCCCAATTTCGTATCCTTGTTGTCTTCCTTTATTCTCTAGCTCTTGTCTCCAAGTCCTTCTCGTCCTTATTTTCCTCCCTCATTCTCTCGCTCTTATCCTCAACTCCTTCTCCACCTTATTCATGTCTCTTATTCCTTGTGCCGACTTGTCATTGCCTTCTTTGAGTCAAATATTGACATTTACAAGGAAGATATCTAGATATTATTTGTATTACTTAGATACTTCTACTATATGTTACCTAGATCAATGAAGAATGGAGATTAATTTCTTTGCAACGAAATCTTCTAAGGAGGTTTTACAATGGGTCGTTGAGTATTATATGGTAAACTAGCTAATAAGGATTACAAATCTTGTTGCCAATTTTTGGTTGTAAATAATTGAAAAAGACAATTGGTCTTGTATTGATATGCGTTGTTGTATTACGTGTTGTTTTGCTCAGGAATGCACTGGGTACTTAGCTGTGGAAGGTGAGATTATGTTTCACAAGTAGCCAAGAAATCCTAATAGGTTTCATTCATGCAAGAAGAATATAATCTGAATTTCAATTCAAAAGTGCTTAAAACACTCTTATTAGTAGTCTTAACCATACATAAATCCCAATTACCTTGTTACTTTCATATTTAAGCAATTTAGATTTTTCTTGTAAATCCCAATCCTAATGAGTGAACTTTTACAAGCTGTAACATCCAATCCGACTGTCCACTTGATGTGGAATTTTGCATGCAATTTTCAATGCAAGTCTTCTAAATTCTCAAGAATTTTTAGCCCAATCTAACTTACAGATTGTAAGAAAACCTCTAAAGTTTGCACCAATGTCATTCGGCCACCAACTTGAAAAGTAAAGCAAAAATCCCAGCAATGATTTCTCCTTCTCTAACCGTTAACTTTGTCTCAAAATTGGTGTGTAGCTTGACCTTTAAGTCTTCCAACACCATGCCAATTTTTATCTTAATCCAACTGATAGATCTTCAGATATCATAGAAATCCTACCCAACCTCAAACTGCCACCTTCTAAAACCTTCTTGTGCTAAAAACTAGATATCTCTAAACCTCGCCATTAGATTATCACAAAATTTTGTATACACTTAGCACACTTAATAATCCACACAATAAAAAATTTTCAATTGTAGATGTTATGCCAATTGCACGAACTAGTCAAAATTGCTAGCCTTAATTATATTATATAAAACCCAAATCACTGATACAAACCTTGACTTTGAACAATAATTGCTAAGTCCTTCAAAACCCTTTCAAAACAATTCCTATGTCTTTGGAAAGAACTTCAAGCCAGCTCTCAAATCCTAACCTCCAATCTTTGAATGAAACCCTATTCTATCCTAGGGTGTCGTTTTAGTAGCCAAAGGTCTGATTTTGACCTTGTCTCACAAACGGTCGATCCCCGGGTATC